GATCGACCGGTCCGGCGAAAAATTCGATAAAACGGGCATTGCGACAATGCCCAAAGCCCCCCCCACTCTACAGCGCCCCCTTGAAATTTAAAAATTTTGAGATGAATGGGAGGCTGACACGCATATTTTGTCGTACGGTCACGAAATTCGGAGCAGTGATAGAGCTCAAGGAGACAAGCAAAAAAGCCAATCATTGTGCACCCCTATGACGAACAGGAAGTCGGCCATATTGGATCTAAAATTCGGCGCCGTTTTGACTTGGGTGTCTACAAAAAGATTCAAGTCCCCGGGGTTTGGTCCAAATGAGCTCAAATTTGACATGTCACATCTACAGACATGAACTCACAGAAGTTCCCAAATTTTTTTGGGATACACCTTACGTAGCACGCCGGCGAATAACGCCTTCATTTCCTGTTTTTTCGGTGACCTGTCACGGCCACAGGCATTGTCCGAGAGAACTCAAATTCAAATCACAATTGCGTGATGCTGGTGTGAATGTAATGAAATATGAAATCTAATAAAAGTGAACTCTATAGCGCCCCCTAGCATAGACATGAAACGTCAACATTATCGGATTTGGACCAAATTCGGAAATTAAATTCTATGCATGATGACAAGCAAAAAAGTCTATTACGGACAAATTGCATTTTCCACTACTGGCCAGCAGGGGCGCAAAGACTCCCCCAAAAAATAGTAAAAAAAATGATTGCACCCACAGGGTTAGTCCGATCGTGCTGAAATTTGAATCACTAATGCCTGATCATGGCCTGAATATAATACACCATAAAACATATGAAAAATGAACTCTATAGTGCCCCCTAGCATTGACAAACATCAACATTATCGGATTAGTACCAAATTCGAGGATTAAATTCTAGACATGATTACAAGCAAAAAAGTCTATTATGGACATGATGCATTTCCCACCACTGGCCAGCAGGGGCGCAAAGACTCCCCCCAAAAATAGTTAAAAAATGATTACATGCCCATGTTTAATCGGATCGTGCTGAAATTTGAATCACTAATGTGTGATCTCAGCCTGAATATAAAACAGTATAAAACATATTAAAAGTGAACACTATAGCGCCCCCTACCATTGACATGAAATGTCAACATTATCAGATTAGCACCAAATTTGGGGTTTAAATTCTACGCATGATTACAAGCAAAAAAGTCAATCATTGTGCGCCCCTATGATGAACAGGAAGTCGGCCATATTGGATCAAACATTCGCCGCCATTTTGACTTGGGGTCTACAAAAAGATTCAAGTCCCCGGGGTTTGGTCCAAATGAGCTCAAATTTGACATGTCACATCTACAGACATAAACTCACAGAAAGTCTATTATGGACATGGTGCACTTTCCACTGTTGGCCACCAGGGGCACAATGACTCCTAAAAATATTTAAAGGTGCATTATGTAACGTGTCTAATGGACCAGCTGTCGGCCTGGGCGGATGTAGGGAAGAGAGGGTGCGTGCCGGGGCGGTCGCGAGTCCCCGGAGGTCGTGTGGGGGGGCGGTGCGCACCCGGGGCGAGGGCCACCATCGCCGCGCGTGGCTTTAATTATTATTGTTGCTGTTGGTACGGTGTTGCTCTGCACACAAGTATTGTCTTACAATAACAATACTTCATCGATGCAGAGACACCTGCGTGCCAATGGTTAAATTTGTCCACTAGAGGTCAGTGTTTCTCCGAGGCCTCAGACACATCCAACCGTTTGACGTTTTTTGCGACTGAGGTGTCAATGCTTCATGAAGCTCCATTCGCCCATCACTACCTGTCTCTCTTCGCTGGGGTCTTGCAATGCATTGTGGTCTATGTTGACCACCGATGCCCACTACTTTTCAAGGTGCATTGTGGGAAATTTTGAGTGCACAAAATTTAAACTCACTGGACATTCAGACACCCCTAAAATGGCGTGACCCCTGAATAGTGCTCTAAGTTGGGAATAGTGTGGACTTTCGGACTAGGGATGGGCGTTCGATTAAATTTTCTTAATCGATGGTCGGGAGAATTAACAATCGATTATCAATTTTCGAAAAATTTTTGTATTAAAATTTATCATCATTATTATTAATATCTGCACTACTAATCTGCATAAATAAATTAAACTTTACGACATATAAACCGTAACCACTCTAGAGCCACATCAGCCCATTTGACATTATAATGTGTTTTTACTGCAGCTTTGTGCAAGTCTCACAGAAACAAAACTTAAAACCACATGGCTCATTTGCATAAATTAAGCGAAGAAAAAAAACGTCTCTTGTGCGCTGATGCAACACGACTCAGTGGAATACAGGTTAGTGTGACCATATTTGCATTTGTCAAAACCAGGACACCATACAGGGGGTGGGAGGTGGGGACTCGTCATCAACATTGCGCGACTCTCACCTGGCAAAACATTTTCCCATTGGACACCGACACACATGTGCTGCTTTATACACTGTGCACATGACCTCACACTTATCCCGAACGCAATGGAAAGCCTGGAATTTCTTGTACAAATCATCGTTAAATACACATTTGTGCTTCGGTACGTTGCAGACTGACCGATTGTTTGTATCTCGCTCCTTCTGAGTGCAGAGAGCTACATGTACAGACCCCTGTTTGGTCACACTACGCACAGCAACCTACATTCGGTTTGTCGATTAAATTTAACATAATCAATTAAATTCTTAATGATCAATTATCAATTAATCGACTAATCATGCCCATCCCTAATTCTGACACAACCTGTATATTAATTTTTTTGCAACGGAATGCAACAGAAAATTCATCTGGATCTGCTGTAGCCCCGTCAGTCATGGCTACGCTCTTCATACTGTTGTTGTGTTCTTGGGCAAGACATTCCCAACCTATGACCTGTGTCTATGAACGTGACACAGCGAGTCTTTTGGAGGAGTGACGGTATAAAGCTGCATGCTGTTTGTATCTGTTTTTTGCCTTTGAAAACTGAAATCTAATTCACAGGTGGTCTCTCGATCAGGAGTCAGTATTTCCGCAGGTTAAATTTAGAGTGAATACGCTGACAGAGGCTCGTGTGTTTGACTCAGGAAGTTTGAGCTTGTGACTCATTTAACAGGGAAAAAAAAACTCAACTGTGCGTTCAGTTTATGCCCCTGCAGCAGCGGCAGCCACAGCTACAGTGGAAAACCAAACTAGAACTTTCCAATGTAGAGACCACTGTGTGATTTAAAGTGGGCATTTAGGGGAGTTTTCCAGTCATAAAATACAAGCTATATGATTTTTTTTTCCACCCATGATATTTTTGCTTTTAGCGTAATGCAGTAGGCAGTATAGGTCTGAAACTAACACTTCTTTTAACTAGTCAACAATAACTTTTTTCCATTAGCAGACTAGTCAAGTGGTTATTTCTACTGAGCATTCATTTTTAAATCCTTTTTTTTTTTTTTTTTTTACCAAACCAAGGTTTAAATATGGTAACTGAAGGCTCCTGGTCCAGCTCCCGGTCCACATTTGGTTGACTCTGACCGGCCCGTTTAAGCTCCTTTGGAATTACAAAATAAACATATTTTTATCATTTTACCTCATGCATGGACTAAAGCTGCATTGCTTTTATAATTTTTTTGTGGGGCAACCTCACTTTTTCATTGCTTAGTCAAAACAAACTCTTACCAGTCGGAGCAGCTCGTCAAAACAATGATATTTACTACTTTTTATTAAGAAATACAATAAATATTATAAAAATTTAGTTCAGCATTTTGACCCTCCACAATATTTTCTGTTTCTCATATGGCCCCATGGAAAAAATAAATGCCCACTACTGAAATAGAATATAAGTATGAATAAAATGTATTATTAATGAAAATCAGAAATTGTTAATTAAGTTTTTGACATTTTGATTGGATCACACCGTTGTCTTTGTTATTAAAAAGGTTTTTTGGCATTTGCATTAGAGTCCCGATAAAGACTAGTGTTAACAAAATACAATACATTTGTAATAGTCAGCTGACTCCTGATGTAGTACTGATAAACATATGTACATAAGTATGAGATCTTCCAGTTTAGTTCCCTATAGTACTTGTTGATGTGGACTTGAATATATATATATATTTTAATAATAATGTAAAATTTAGCAAAACTATTAGAGAAGCATAGAGACTTCTGGAGACGCAGCTGCCCTGAGACAAAGACGTGGCTGTCAAGCTGAGCCAAAAGCATCTCCAAACACAACCAATCTCTCGCTCACACGCCATATCCATACATACATATTCATATAAAGGTGTAGGTAACATGTGTGAAGTGTCTTGCTCAAGAGCACAATTTTTGTTTTGCATTGATGAGGGAAACCGGTGTGTCCGGAGGAATCCCACCCAGACACAGAGAGAACGTGCAAAGTCCACACAGAAAGGTCTAGGGATGTAACAATATCCAAATCTCTTAATACGATGTTTTCACGAAACACATCTCACAGTATGATGTTTATTGTGTTATTTTATGTGAGGCTATACTACTTTTCTCTCATCCTAATCCAAATAATTAAGATTTAAAAGTGCTTAATAAGTTATTTCTACATGTAGGCTGGATTGAAATAGAGCAAAGGATCACGGTCTATGTAGTTCTCTATGTTTTTTAGCTGTTGCTGCATCAAATCAAGAAATTTAAGCAAAGAAACTTGTAATTTGATATACTGCGATGGCCACGATATTATTGAGACTTTTGACGAAACCACAATATTTCCGTTATTGTTGCACCCTATGTGACCCTGGAGTCAAACCTAGAACCTTGTTGCTGTGAGGCATGAGTGCCACTGTGCCACTGTGCCATCATTGTCACCTCTGAAAATATCACCTAATTATTTACAGGAAGCACTTCTGTAAACATAGAAATCCGTGTCTGACCAAAACAGAGCCAACGCCCACACACTGCAGATGCAGGCAGGGCCGTCTGGCTTCCTTCCTGACTCTGATTATTTTAAATGAGGACGTTTTCAGATCAAATCTTCAGATACGACAGGAGTAAGTTATAAGTTACCTGCAGGTGGTTCAGATAGGTCTCCACGTTCTCCAGAAGTTCCAGGATGCATTTCTCCAAAAGGTAAAAGAACCCCTCCAGAGCGTCAAACTCCTCATCCACCAACTGCAATGGCACACACAAACACACACACACACAGACAGAGGGTCATTGTTTTTGGAACAATACAGATATGTAACCAGAATTGTATTTATTTTTTAATTTTTAAAATTAATTTATTAATGACAAATCCCAAGGAGGTCAGGCTTCACACTCAACCAAACACCACCCACACATCACATCCATACACACTCATACTTAATACAGATCCATAAGGAAAGAATGAATAATAAAAACAATAATAACAATAATTGTGCTAAAAAATGTGTTATTCTCCATAGCAATTATTTTTTCTAGATTGTACTGATTGTGAATTATGTTTTTAAAGTATTCGAAACATACATTTGATATTGTTGAAGCCTTAAAAATAAAAATCTTTCCCAATTAAATAACTGTATTCAGAAAAAATGTGAAATTCCTCTCCAAAACGCACAACATGATGTTTCTGGGGGAAATTTCAAAAGAAATTCCCATGGACTGTACAGAAGATTGAACAGAAACTCAAAACTTAGCAACATATTGTTGTGTGTGTATTAGGACCGGCGTAATGTAATTTTACCAATGAATTTCACCGCTCATAAATGAAAAAAAATAAATAAAATAATATAATAATGTATATATATATATATATATATATATATATATATATATATATATATATATATATATAATTTTTTTTTTTTTGTTGTTGTTTTTTTAGAAAAAAAATTTCACTAGCAAATACTAAATCATTATTATTATTTATTTATTTATTTATTTATTCTTCTTCAAGTAACTAAATTGTGCCCATAACAATGATATTATTAATGTGTATTTTCTACCATCCTGTGCTGAACCAAAGTTAGTCTACTTTTGCACAGAAACATCAGATGGAAACATCCAGAACTTTCATCAGCACAGATCTAAAATGCAGTAAAAATAGATATGAAACCTTTGGAACGATTCCAGTCTCATGTTTGATCTGCTGGCTGAGGCGAGCCGTCTTCTTAAAGATGCTGTGAGTGTTCAGTCTGTTGATCATGTCTTTAATACTCAGAGTCTCGGTCTTCTTGTATTTATCGGCTGCGGAAAACAAAACAGGGATTTTGGATTATTTTAAGGGAAAATTATGTCCTCCTTTTAATATATGTTCTGTAAAGCGTCTTTGAGTGTGTTGAAAAGCACTATTGAACTAAAATGTATTATTATTATGTTTTCAAACAAGGTTATGTGAACACTGTTAGCTTCACTACTTCCTGTCCGGTTTTATCTCTATGGTGTTTTTGCCGAGTCATGCTAAAAAAATGTATATTTAATAAAAATAAGACAGTGAACAGGGAGCTGCGGGTGATCATGTTAAAAAGTACACAATTAAAATGTGGGCCCAGTCAAGCAGAAGTAAACAGCAAGGCCAAAAATTCAAGTTAATGCATCTGATATAAAAATGTATTCAACAGATACATATGTACTCTAGTTTATGAAACTGTTTACCTTTTTTCTGTACCATTTTTGGTTCTAAAGTTCCATCCGTTTTAAACAGACCATGTATGAAACATGGAACAAAAATTATTTCCCAAATTTCAAAGACCTGCAAATCATGTAAATAAATTGATGTATTTTGTCATATCTTGTGTTATTCCATCTTTGAACTGTTGATGAAGGTACACGATAATTTTTTTTTTTATGTATTTAAAATGATAAAGATTTGCTTGGAAGGACTGACATATTTTATAGAAATAGCTACCTTTCATTTTGAAGTAATATTAAAGTATCTGGAAGAAAAAAGCTGACAAATTATGCAAAACCTTCTACTTGCTTGCACAATTTCATAATCTCATGACTCAAAAAGTAAGAGGTTTTTCAACCTAATCTTGTACCATATGGTAGAAAACTATATGAAGCAAATATTCAAACCAGTTTGTTAAGGATATGTAAGTGAGAACCGCTAGTTATTACTGTTTGGATTTATTGCCCAAAAAGTGCTGCATATTTCATTCCCTCTGTTACCGACATGACTTTTAAAATTTTTTGTCAACTTGAAAGAATATCACAGGTTTAACTTTACTCTGTTGGAGTGTTAACTCTTTCCTACATTCTGATACTTTACTTATTTCAATAGTCCCTCTAGTTTCTGAATAAGAGACATTTGAATGTCAAAAATCTGCCCCTGTTTCCCTCCGTTACCACTTGACCGGACCCATGTATACTTCAGTGGAAACTTCTGTGTTTAGAAAGAGACGTTTGTGTCTCAATGCTAATGCTAACGCTAATGCAAATGTTGAGGCATAATAAATATTAAAACACCACTACAAATTAAAGTATTCTACAAGTAAAAATAACCAGGGTGTTTATTTTATGATTAAGTTTTTAATAAAACTGTACAACAGCTCACCGTTATATAACAGATAATACTCCCTACAACTGTACACCAACTCACCCTTGTGGAGCAGATAATACTCCCTACAACTATACAACACAACAACTCACCCTAACCTAACAGAAAATACTCCCTACAACTGTACAACAACTCACTCTTATGTAACAGATAATACTCCCTACAGCTGTACAACTCACCCTTATGTAACAGATAATACTCCCTACAACTGCACAACTCAATCTTATGTAACAAATAATACTCCCTACAACTGTACAACAAATCACTCTTATAGAGTATAGTATTATCTGTTACAGATAATACTCCCTACACTTTTTCCAGACTCACCCACTTCTCTGAACTCCCTGATCCTCTTGTACTCATTGATGCGACAGTTGATGTAGACGGAGGCCTGGGCGGTCTGCTCCAGGAGGCCGTACGAGGGGTGGGATGGGTCCGTGTGCTTCAGGATGGTCTGGAGGAGGAGGGGGTAACGTGCGATCCTCTGCACGGGCATCACCAAGAAGAAACTCAGCGAGGAAGCCTTCAACTCCGGCCTGAGCGAGAGAAGACGAACATGTATTTGTACTGTGTAATAACAAACAAGTTATACAGGAGATAGAGGACAACATGAAAAGTATGCAAAAAAAAAAAAAAAGAGAGAAAGAAATACAGTTAAAAGAATTGTGTCTCCACCTTTAGTGAAAATGACTTGAATGCAAAATATTTAAAAGTTGCACTATTAAACAGCTCTACCTTACGTTTATTCAATTACAGGTGATTTTGTAGCTCAGAAAAACCTAGAAAAACTCTGACTGTGATCTGACCAGTAACTTGGTTGGGTTTGGTCTCTGTGAATATTATTTTTTTATTTTATTTATTTTCCAATTTTGTTTATTGATCATTTTAACATTAAGAGACAGACAGAGTGGACACATCTGAACTGGCCAAACAGTCCTAAATAAAATAAAATAAATAAAAAACAAGTTTAAAAAAAAAAAAAAAAGTTTAAGTAAATAAAATTGATAGTATTAATAGTAGTAATGATAGATAAATAATATGAATATATAATGTAAATTAATACAAAAAAAAAGGAAAGGGACTAAGATGAAAGGTTACACGGCATAAGAAGAGGGGAAAAAAGAGGGGAAAAAAGGGTTATTTTCTATATTTTAGTCATCCTCCAGGTCCGAAGATAGAAAGGTTTAATGCCATACTGTGAAACATTCTGGACAAAACAGTAACATCTCCATGGAGAAAAGCATTTGACGGACCCACTGTGACACAGCTCCCTCAAAGCAGGAACGCATGTTTACCTTGAAAAGTATTTAAGGTGTGTTTACTGTTTATACCTTGGCTAGGATCAATTTCAGTCCTGGAATTGTCAATCTCGACTGAATAAAAGGTAAAAGGAGCTTGAACCTGAACTTGAAAACTACCACTATATGACATCACAATTTGGAACAGAGCATTTTTAGATTTTAGATTTAGATTTTTATTTGCACATATAGTAAAAACAACATTTCAAACTGAAAGTAACAAGAAAAAAAAATACTGTGCATGAATGAGAAGACCTTTTCAGTCTTATAAGATTACCTCCCCTATAGACATGCTTTTATCACAACAGTCCTGAACAAGCAAGTTAACTTTCAGTTAGTAACTTGGTGGATTTTGTTGCGGCCGATATGATACCGAGAAAATGGGAGTTGGAGCTGCCGATAGCTGATATAATCGCCGATACATTTAGTGATGTAAAAATTCACTGTAAATCTTGAATTGTTTAACAAACTTGGGTGTGGCTCTAGTGGATTTTAAATTGGGTTTATTTAGGCGACATTTATCGTTATTCTGCCTCTTTACATCATATGTGTAAATGTTGACCATTCACACCTCTATTCACGGCTCATTTACATATCAATTCTGATCCAGTAACAAATACATGGTCAATATAGTCACTTTACAATAGGCCAAAAGAAGCAGCTAATCACTAACTAATGAGAAATAACCAAAACCAGCTTTAAAATAGACATTTCCAACACTCACACAGGCTCCTCTGAGATCACAAGTCTGCACTAATAAATGTCCTTTTAATCCAGACTCAAACCGATTGTCTGTAAAAAGAATATAATCTCAGTGTTTGGATCTATGTCTGCGGGTGTAAACAAGAAAACGTGAGTGAAGTGACGTGACTCTGGTGGTGTGTTCAGGGACAGTACGGACACACACACAGACAAATGACTCCGCAGATAAATACTGATGCGGAGCCACATATTAGGACATTTATCTGTCTGTAAATTGGATTAAATGAACATAATGTAGAGAGTCTAAGCTTTATAACGAGGTATAACATGCCCACGTGAAATATTGGCACATATTGGCAAGATTTAGGCCGATAGCTGATATGTTTCCAAGTGCCCATATATTGGTCGGGCCCTAGTTCAAATATTAATATCATTAGAAATCAATGTTTGTTTAAATTGTCTTTTAAAATAGTCCAGTGAGGAAATCATTTTGAGCTTTGGAGATGTAGACAGACTAATAATAAAGGTTTACTCAGACACGTGTGAATGAAACAAAACACAACCCCAGGTCTGTTTTTGAGGAGGTAACAACATTCTAAACATGACTTAAAGCTCACATGAGGACATTTTGAGTAATATAAGACCTTTAAATAATGCAGGTCATATGCAGATTCATTATACAAGCAGTTTCAGTCCTTGCCCTATATCTGTTTGTCATGTGAACGGAATTACAGTCAAGTTATGCTTTATAATGCGAGTTTGAGAATGCAGTAAAACCGGTCCGGTAAAGCCGTAACCAAAACAAAAAAGGAAATGACTGATGGATGCCATAATAGTAATGAACCTGAAGTGACAGTTCCAAGTTTAGTTTTCTCGGATAAATGACGTAGATTTATAGCCTTTGTTCAAAGTTCATCTCCAGAGCCTCACGCATGTTTGCATAAGAATAAAACAAAGACAAAGGAGTGGCAGACGGAGCAGTACAACAGTGAAGGAGTTTTGTTTTGGTTTATTTTAAGGCAGCACTACGTAAATTTCCGAAGGTGATATAATACCTGCATGAATCCCTGGTAATATCAGTCAATCAATATTCTCCATACAGACTTTATTGGTGTAAAAAAAAAAACATAAAAAGCTGGTTCAAAAAGCTACACAGTGTGGCTTTAAAAAGATGCAGTGCTAGTACCGGATTGGTGACACTCGTATTTGCAAGTGTTGCCTAGGCCTGTAACGATAACAAATTTTGCTGGATGATTAATTGACCAAGATAATATTGACATTTTGAGACCAATTTCAACTAATATAATGACCATGGAATAAAAATGCTAATACATCCTCTCAATGATCAATAAACTTTACTTTCTAAAGAACATTTAACACAGGAACTGTAAGTCAAACAAAAACAACAGGCCTAAATAAAACAGACTTAACATAGGACTAGCCTAATGTAGTCTGACTGACAGCAAGGATTTGTTAACAAAAATGCACTTGAATAACCCATTGTTGAACCAAATCCAACCAAAGCAATAAATAAAATGGATTAATAAGTCTCTAACAAAATTGTCCTTAAAAGTTATTTTAATCACTGACTTACATTGGAATATTGTGTCTCGTCTCTCTGTGGCTGCTGCTGTGGCCTCGTAATTTTGGTCATTTAAATGTTCGTATTAACCCGCGACACAGGATCTTGTTTCGCTCTGAGGGAGTCTCTGTCCTGTCTGGTGTCATGTCGGTTCAGTTTCGGGATTTCGGGCTCTCCCGGGCACTAGGCTAGTTCTGTCGCTCGGGTTTGGGTTTATATCGGCTGCTGGGGTTTGGGACATTTCTTCTCGTTGTTTTTGCACTCACTGAATTTGACGCACGTGGCTGTTGAGACGTGTCCCGCTCACCAGTGTTGATTCGGCATCATGACTTGTTGTGGCGATGAACGGCGATGAACGGTTTTGTCACGGCTTTGTCCTTCCGGTGCGCTAGCTTGTGTTGCTAGCGCACAACACGGACAGCGGAGTGCAGAATGCGCACACACTACGCACGCATCCGCTCTGTTGATAAACACAGCGCACGTCGGTTCAAGCGTCATTACACTTGTTAAACGAGGAGTTAGAAATTGATAGAAGCCTTCTAACATTCAGTCTTTTTGAGAGCGAGAGAGAGCAAGGAAAACAAACACGCATGCAAATAGAATTTATTGTGGCTGGAAAAGTTATCGAGCTTGTTAAAAGTTATTGCACGATTAATCGATTTATTGATTATCGTTACAGGCCTAGTGTTGCCGATGGAGTAGAATATTACATGATTCTATGGATGTGTGTTAGTGCCCAGCCATCTTGGAATGTCTATTTGGAAAGTCAGAAAAAAATTTAGAACTAAGGCCCCATCCACACTAGTTCGTATTCGAAAGTGGATTGTGGATGCAGTGTTCGTCCAATCAAAGCAAAATCCCGATCCCTTACTCAACCTCGGTTATGAATTTAAAAAGTCAACGCCACAGCAAAAGGCACCAGCTGTTGGCCAAGAAACAACTTCCACTTCAAAGAGACCAAGACTTAATGTTGCTGTAAAACCACAAGAACAAGAAAGTGTGAGCTCAGTCTGTTTGTCTTCTGTACATCTCACTTAACAAACGGGATCCCGCTTCGATGGAGCTCCACATACAAAATGTTCGCTGCAAACTTGGGTTGATTTAGGCAGTCAAAGGTTTCCTTTTTTGTCCTTTCTGTGGATCAATACTGCCCATCACCTTCGCCTTTCACTATTTTTCAATTCCGTTGGGAAGAGAAACAGTTTGAACTGAGGTTTGAGTCACACACATCTGATTCCCTTTTGCATTTATGAAGTTCACAAACAAATTTCTGGAGTCGTTTTTCGCTGTTAGGATCCAACAACCACACATTTAACGATGTCTGAATCCCAAAATTAAAATATGACAATATCAGAACCAGAAACAAAAGTGATATGGTTCAAAAGACTTGAAAAGATTGGCTTTGTCAATAGACGCATCCCACTGGGAAAACAAACATGGAGGTTTGATGCTCACTTTTTAAGAAAATCCTTCCCAGTATGCTTTGTGCAATGACTGGCAGTCCGAGATTCTTGATGTGTGTATTAATGAATCAAACTTTATTTGTATAGCACTTTTCATACATGGACCGTAAAAGCTTAAAGACTCCTCACTGAGAGAGAGTTTGGACTCTTGGGACCGAGAGGGCTCATATGATAAAAGCAGATCAGATAAATAAATAGGACTAAGACCATTAAGAGCTTTATAAACCAATAAAAGAATTCTGAACTCTAATCTACACTAATCCGATTGAAAACGGTTTCAGAGAAGGAATGATCTGGGGCCTCCAGCTCCCACGAATTCATCCGAGTATGGATCTGCTCTGGCACTGTGTGGACGCCTGAAAACACTGATACTCTGATGTAGGTCTGTGCACCGCAAAGTAATTCACCATCAAAACACTAAGAGGCTAGAATATATGTCTGTTCATATAAACATGTGTCTGTGTGTACGACCTGCAGACGTATAATCTCTGAAACGTTTCACATGAACCATCTCCAACACGACAGAAACACAGAACAGACTCACCATCAGCAGAACACCCCTCTGTCACAGAAAGAACACTCATATTCCACTGAGTCGTGTCCTTTAGTCCAACAGAAGATAAACGGCATCAGCGCACAAGGAGTGAGCTGTTTTTTAGTTAGCATTTAGTTTATGCAAATGAGCCATGTGGTTTTAAGTTTTGTTTCTGAAAAATGTAAACAAATATGTTCAAAGCTGTGTGGACAGGGAAGACTTGCAGACACAGAAATGATGTGTCTGGACACAGATAATTTCCGATACGGTGATATGTTTCAGTGTAAACGTAGTCTAAAAGTGTATATTAAAAACTCTGTACTCTGTCGCTATGTACTGCTTTCCTGTTTCTGTGAACCTGTTCTTGCACAGCCTTGGAACCTCTGCTCTTATAACTGTGCTATTATGCTCCGTTATGCTAATGCTGCTAATGCATGTCAACAAAAGGAGAAATTCACTCTCAAACGTTGCTTTATTATCTGTTAATGTAGTAACAATGCTCAGGGCTTTAACATGATTCAGTCTGCATTTTATCTGATTTGAGCACTTCCCTAGTTTTTCTTACAACTCAGTTTATAGAGTTTATGTCCACCATGGATCTAAAAAAAAAAAAAAAAAAAAGGATATGCCCCGCCCCCTCTGTCCTGGTATTTTGTCGAAATGGGCTGCCCCGTCAAAATGAGCTCCCAGCAGCCTAAATTGACAGTGATGTAAATCGATTCACACTACCCCGTCCAAAAAAGATACTTTACATTTTTTTCATTTACAGTTGTATAGATCCAATAAAGTCCAACTCTAAACTTGACCCTGACTTCCCCAGGTTGACAACATATTTATTTGGATTAGAGACGCAGGTTTGATGCTGTTTGCACACAGGGATCACACTTTATATCTTAGTTATGTCAAATTTTAACTCATTTATATGAATATTCATAGGTAGTTCATTTTGACAGTCATATGATGTTATCAAATAGAGTTTTGACTAAAGGTAGCACATATCGGCAGGACAGTTTAGCCCTTGAATAATGCTCCCACTGCAGAATCACCATTATTAATTTCTCATTTATATGAATCTGGGCAGAGGAGCTCATTTCCACAGGCCAATATCTTCTATCACATAAGACTCCCACTATAGAAGAGAAAGAAATTACTAGAAACACTGTAATATTAAATATATAAAAATATATATAAAATAGCATAAAATATATAATATTTAGGCTACAGTGTGAATTTCCAATTATAATATAGTGATATTTTATTTATACAATGCCTTTCTAAACAAAGTTACAACGTTTTCTACACATGGAAACAAAAACAAAAAAAGATGTAATGAAAATGATAACGTATTAAATCCAAACTATTCAATCATCTAACAGATATTCTGCCGCAAATCTCACACACACGCCGTTGCTTACATGTTTAACTGAACAACAAAACAAACAATAAAATCAAATGTGTCGCATAAATGAGTTTCCTTTCTCTACACAAGCAGCAAAACTGTAGCTCTGTAACAAAATAATTTAGTAAAACACACCTAAACATACTCTTAGAGAAATATCGATACAGCAGCCCACGATATCGATACTGTATCATCACATTAAACGATACGATATATCGATATTCCGATATTTTTGCACACCCCTATTATAGATTCCACAACAACAAATTTTACCATCATTTTCTTATTAAATGAACATGGCATAATCCTGAACTAAATATAGTTTTAACTTACGCAGAGCTCTTGAGGACTTTCACGATCTGGTCCCACAGCGCCTCCTTCTGTTTGCAGCTGACCTCCCATGCGGTCACCTGGCTGTAGTTGGACAGATATTCTTTATAGGCAGTTTCCATGTCTGCGGCGAGGCGCAGGAACGAGTTACCTGTGAGGAATACAAGACATAAGAGACATAGTTATTTGAGTTAGTTGAAAAGCTTCAGGCTCTGTGCACGGCAGCCTCACTGTTAGTGTCACTACATCCTGTCCAGTTTAATCTCTGTGGTGTTTTTGCTAAGTCGCTCTAAAATTAATAAATATTAAAAGATAAGACATTCAACAAGGAGCTGCGGGTGTACACAAAGTACACAAATAAAATTAATATACATTGCCAATAATGAACAGTACTTTTTTACTGGTCATTTCTATCAAAAACATTGGGGTTTACTGTATTATTAAAAACAGTAGTATTTAAAATGTGTATGACATTTTTAGAATTCTCTAATTTTGACTTAATTTGGTGGGATTATAACTATACTGATGACATCACACTAGGGAAAATTTCATCCAAAAGTTAGAAAAAAATTGTTTCTTAAGTGTAAATTGTGTCTGATACTTTAAACATGATTTTAAGGTGTTTTCTTATATTTGTCAGATAATAATATTTGTGTACATAAGAGAAGTTTTGTTGGGTAACAGTTATGAAATTCTTAGCATGATATCACGATTTTCAACAAAGAAGTAAAATACTGTAAAATCTGTCACTTTAAGAGGCACTTTAAGAGGTAATGTATTAGTCTAATCTCAAAAACAAAGCTGTGAAGTTATGTTTACTTTCTGTTTTCTGAGTCAAGTGAAGAACGGAAGACAAGAAGGAACACTGCGATAGACACTGACAGACTGAAACCCACTTCCTGAGAAAACACAAAAGTACTTAATGTTTACAGGCATGAAAATGGGTCAGTGGTAAAAAAGGTGACAAGAGCGTACGAGGGGTGAGATAGGGGACATGCCAAGTGTTTTTGGAAAGTAAAAAGGCGAGTGTAGCTCCTCACATGTGTCTATTTACACCATCAAAAAAGTTTTAAGATTGTCTGAAAATGCAAGAAAAATACTAAATGGATTTATTATTTTATGGCCAAGTCAGTTCCTTATGGTCAAATTGTATTAAAATGATGCTCTCATTAGAATAACAGCTTCTGACCTGACAGAGCAATGCTTACAGTTAGCATCACACCTCCAGAGAATGTTGATGTCATCAGCTGCAATGTATCAACAGCATATATACTGTAAACTAGGTCCAAAATGTGGACTTAACCAAAAGAAATCCAGGACATGTGGACTAATGCAGCCTAGAAGAGGGCAGTGCTCCACAGACTGAGACCCTCTGGTTTGGAGAGGGTCATATTTTTATCTAAATGTACACAGGGAGCGTCTTACAGAAGTTCTGGAGGAAGTCTGGGTCTCCAGGCTGGAGCTGCTCCTGGTCCACAGAGTTCAGGAGCTGACTAGTCACAGACACCACCCCGGGCAGGTGCTCAAAGAGGGGCTCCACGTTCAGAAGGGGGGGCTGAAGGAGAGACAGACATACTGAGTGTCAGAGAATGGTCAGAGGTCATGGTCACATTTTTATACAGCAAAGCACACATTTTTATACACTCAAGGTACTTTTCAACTAGGAACCACTCACCAATTCACACACACACTCACACACCAGTGTACTCCACTTTTGGAGACCCGCACCCGTCCGCACCTGCGCAGTACAGCACCACACCCGCCCATTAACCTGTGATTATATGAAAGTTAAATCCACACCTGCCCGGACCTGTTAACATTCCAACAGTTGCCCACCTGTTCCCGTGCCCATGCCCATGATAAATCAGGGTCAGCCCAATAGTCCAGGACTAAACCAGGACTAAACCAGGACTGAACCTACGCCGTGTCAACGCATTATAAATATATACACGTCGCAACCGCTGAGCTGATCGCCAGGACTATGCCAGGACTACACCAGGACTACACCAGAACTACAGCAGGACTACAGCAGGACTACACCAGTTCTAAATCAGGACTAAACCAGGAATAAACCAGGACTAAACCAGGACTAAACCGGGACTACACCGGGACTACACCGGGACTACACCGGGACTACACCAGGTCTGGACCAGGTCTAAACCAGGACAAAACCAGGAGTGCAGCCACCAAGCCTATCACCTCCGCTGATCGGTTTTACGTAATAAATACACTAAAGTCTCTCTCTCAGCTTGAACAGCCATCGTTCGAGGAAAAGATCTGGAAATTGTGCTTGTTTCTAGGGAAACGGACGTCCTGGATGCACATGAAGTATTTTTCTCCCGTTCGTCGTTCATTTGCTTCACCTGACCCTCCCATGTGTAATCACTACCCACCCGGAGAATTCCAGAACGTTAAAACCCGCCCATTTCAGAAACTAGTTGGGTGCCCTGACCCAGTGCAGGACTCTGACTCAGACACTGGGAGCGAGGTGGGTGTAAAGCGTCTTGTCCAAGGACCCAACGACAGCATTCATCTGTGGGAGCTGGAATCACACCATCAACCTGTGGGTCAGTAGATCTGATGATGTTTATGTTGAGATTTGGATTCGAACCTTCAACCTTCAGATCAGTGGACAAACGCTCTACTAAGTTTATTCAGTTAGAGAAACACAAAGATTGGAATTAGAAACTTCATAAAGGTGACGAGTCTAAAAGTCCTACGTTATGCAATGCTCGGGACTTTCTGTAATATTTTTAGAATGAATTTAATTGTATTGTTCCAGAAGGAAATGACTCATCTGTCAGTGTCAATCTGGGTGAAGGTTGGCCTAGTGCTGTCATCGGCTGTCATGAAGATAAACGAGTTTAAAACCTTAATGTGTAACATTCAACGCAAAGCAGTAACATCTCTTATAGAGGCGAGCAGGTAGCGAACTCTTTAGCAAGTACTGATTACAAAAAAAAAACATGACTATTCTGGTATCCTGCAGGAACAACCAGATCTTGAGACTGATGTGAAGAACCGGAGTGCCCACACAGGAGGAAACCCACCCAGACACAGGGAGAACATGCAAACTCAGCCACTGAACTGCTGTTTTATAGGAAGCAAACAGATTCAAACGTTTTTATAAAAAGGAAGCTGATATATAAAAACAACAACAACAACTTGTTTGGAGGATTTTTTGGTTTCAAAGATGCAGTAGCCTTGTACCCTAATTACGATGACCAAAAAAAAAAAAGAAAAAAGAAAATCCATTAACTGTGGACATGGTGGAGCCAGCTAAACATTAGAGGCTTCCTTGTTATATATTGGCTGTTAGGTTGTCATTCAAACTCCCCCACGTTTCTAGTGTATCTGACTCGCCGGTGCACTGGGATTACGTGGTTTACGTTCGCCTCTCACACATTCCACATAAACAAGATGCTGCCGTTTACTCGACCAAAGCAGGGGTTCTTAGAGGCTTTTTCCAAATGTAGCTTCCTCACAGTTTGTGCAAAGTTTGTCGCAATGGCAGACAAGTATCCACGACCAGTTAGTAAAAGAAAAGAAAAAGAAAGTCTTCGCTGAAAGAAGAAGAGAAGAGGAAAAAGAGCAAAGACAAGCAAAGGTGATTCTTGGAGATTCTTTCCAGCGATGGCCCGACTGAAGCAGATGAAGGGTCTAAAGAGCTGGTTGGCGCGTTGGTTGATAAATGACTTCTGGACAGGTAACTTCAGGAGAATTCGTTCAGAGGTTCTGAATGCACACTGGCTGTAAACAAGCATGATTTCTAGCATAAGGAGGAAGCAGGAGGAGGGGGGGTGGTGTCATGCATGTGCAGCAAGTGAAAACGGACGTTGTATTTCACTTTCCTTGGAAAAAACTTTAAAGGGCCCATCTCATGCAAAACCAACTTTTCAGAGCTTTCTACCTTCTAAGAGTGATGTGTGGGCCTTGTATATGTCGCTGAAGTGGTTTTTAGATTGATTTGGCGTTTTTGTTTTTTTTGTTTTTTTTACAAATTCTAGCGTATTTCTGCCACCCTCCCACGTGACAACGAACTAAAGCTGCTACAACGATGGCGTGGCACGTACACCTATGACATGTTTGACGTAGCAGAAAGAGCTTCACACCCGCCTCCCTCCCCCACTTCACCGCCTCTGCCCTGCCTCTACCCCGCATCGACTGACAGTTCCCACACAAACACCTAAACAAAAGTGACAGCATAAACTCATTGTTCTACACTGCAGTGAACACGATATAATAAGTTTATCTACTAGTGTTTATTAATACTTTATCAATCAGTAATGTTCAGATGATGTGGATGTGGTGCTTGAGCTTCGTCCACCTCAAAGTCCTTGTCCGATTCCAGGTCCAACACATGCGGCTGAACTCCATGATGAATAAAAGTTTATTCCTGCAGCTATCAGGGTGCACGCCTGTCTCCTCCTCCCTCCCCACTGATCTGAAGGTTGGCAGTTCGAATCCAGCTCTCGACATAAAAAAAAAAAAAACATCACAGGTTGAGCGGTCAGATCCACTGACCCACAGGTTGGCTGGTGTGATTCCAGCTCCCACAGATGAATGCTGCCGTTGTGTCCTTGGGCAAGACACTTAACCCACCTTGCCCACAGTGTCTGCGTACACTGGTGTGTGAATGTGTGTGTGAATGAGTGAGTGGTTCCTTGTTGTAAAGCGCTTTGAGTGCCTTGAAGGTGGAAAAGCGCTATAAAAAAATGTGACCATTTACCATTTACCATTTCATAGTTCCTGGATCTGTGACTGTCTCCAAGAAATCAGTAAGATTTCAAAACTATTGTGTAATGGATGTTCCAAAACCCAAATTGTGCTTGTATATGTGCAGAAGATACAATATGAAAAGAGTTATTTTGCATGAGATGGGCCATTTAATCCAACTATTACTCCCATCTCAGTATTAAACCTGAGATGTTCCAACTGAACAGAGTTTGCTAGTATCAACACAATGAAGAAATTGTGAAATGAGGTAAGATATCTTGCTTAAACAAAGGTTAAAATCAGGTCAGCTGGTTGTGCAATATTATTCTTGCACATTAAAGGTAACGTTTCTGGTGGAAGGTTCGTCTGGTGGTTTTCTCTATAGAGATGCTGTTGCGTTGTCTGGAATGTTTCACAGTATGGCATTAAACCTTTCTATCTTCACAGAGACCAAACCAGATCAAGTTACAGGTCAGATCTGTGGAGAGGCGACTCCGTTCACAGTCAGAATGCCTGTTTTACTAGGTATTTTAAATAATTTAATAAATGTTAAGTAAAGCGGTTTACTGCGGAACATTCCAGACATTTCTTACGACCTCTTATATATATCTAAGAAATATTTTTATTACTTTATTTCTATATTTTATAAAATTTTTACTTGTACATATACATTTATATAATTATGCCTTATTTTATTTATTTATTATATTGTGATGTGTGAGCTTCTGTGTCCAAATAATTTCCCTAATGGATCAATAAAGTTTGTCTAAGTCTAAGAGCAATGACATATTCATAGAAACAAGCAGGTGACGGACCCCAACGAAGAAGTTACACAGTGCAGCTTTAAACTCCGCCCTTCTTCATACCTGCATTTTGAGCAGGTGTTCCTTAATGGTTCCGGAGCTGAGTTGTAACATTCTGAGGTAGTTTCGTTCAGACTCCAGGAGCTCCAGAAGGGCCAGGTTCTGTCGCTGAGCTCTGATCTCCTCACACTTCTCCTCCTCACTTTTCCTCTGGTCCTCATCGCTCTGCTCCTTCAGCTCGATAAAACTGTCCTGATGGAAGAGATTACAATGTGTCAAACTTTTGTGTTACTGTATTTGTGAAAAGAAAACATGTGATTCCTATATTACTGTATTTTTTGGACCATAAGTGGCACTTTTTTCATGGTTTGGGTGTTTCCTGCAACTTATACTCCGGTGCGACTTATATATTAAAATGTTCACACTGAAGCCGCGAGAGGCTCTAGTCTAGTGTGTCAGTATCTGCTGCTAAAGAGCCTCTGTTCTGTCTGTATCATGTCAGTCGATCGCACCATTACTTCTGTATCTCTGAAAATTTTACATTTAAACAAACTTATAAAGACGGCTGAGAAGACTGAACACAAAAGCTCCCAAAAAGAAAATTATATTTTGCAGATTACAAACTGCAAGTCATGAAATCTGCAGCCGAAAACGGTAATCGAGCAGCAGAAAGAAAGTTTGGAGTGAGAGAGAAACTTGGGACAACCGGGATTCAGAAAGACCGGAATAATTCTAACTGGAACTGATGCTGAGTCTGACGACAGCGACACAGAAGCAGAAGCAGCGCTCCGTTTACCTCTGGAGGTCGAGGTCGAGTTGTTCAGAAGTGACACCGAGGATGAAGAATTGAATGGATTTAGTGATTTGGAGTGAGATGGAGAGTTTGTTAAACTTGTTCTGTTCTGTTGTTTATGTTATAGTTTATCTGAAGAACTGTTCATATGTGACGTTAACAGTCTGTTGTTCTCTTTTTACTACAACTTGACTTTACACAGGAAATGTCGGTTCCTGGTCTCTGATTTTATCAAATAAATTAAATAAATAAATTTCCCCCCAAAACTTGTGACCTATAGCCTGGTGCGACTTATTATGTTTTTTTCATCTTCATTACGCATTTTTTGGCTGGTGCGACTTATATTCCGAAAAATATAACAATATAACAACATTGATTCTTGTGAGCTTTAAGTCATGTTAGAATGTTATTACCTCTTCAAAAAACATCCCCAAGGTTGTGTTTTATTTCATTTTCACATGTCAGATCAACCCTTTATTATTAGTCTGTCTACATCTCCAAAGCTCAAAACATTCTGTTCCACCTTGTGATGTCATGAAGTGGTAGCATAGTGGTAGCTGTGTTTTGTTTCATTCGTACACGATCATGAGAATGAAACTCAACTTGACAAGTTTAATGCCATACGGAACAATCAACACAAACCAATAACAAGACGGCAGACTCTCTACCAGAAAACTCACATAATCTACCTTTCAAAAGCTTACATTTAAATTGGTTGTTATATTTATATTTCATTTTTAAGTATGAATTACATTTACTAAAAATATAAAATACTTCATGACCCATATTATGAAAGTTAGCATATTGGAATGTCCTAATTTATTCTAAAATCGCATTTCATGAAAAATCCCAATAAAACTCTTTTATAAAACTGAAATGTGTCCCGTTGCCATGGGTTACCTGTGAGCAGATACTCATGTTGAACACAGAGGTGTTACAGTCCAGCAGGTCTGTGCTCTCGTCTGATCCACCAAAAAAGTCTTCGTCTTCGGGGCTGAACAGGTCGTCCAGCTGGTCGTGGTCCTGGAGCAGGTCGGGCATCATGGGCCTGTCCATGGGCAGGAGGAGGGTGGGGGGCTGGGGCCGGGGGGGCACCTCCATGATGGGTCACTGAGGAGGGCAAGAGGAGAAAGGTAATGTTACAAAGACGGTCAAACACTGACAACTACTTTGACCAAAACAAGATAAGATAAGATAAGCCTTTATTAGTCCCGCAGTGGGGATATTCCAGTGTTGCAACGTGCAATTTCAGAACAGCAGGAAAAAGTAACATACAATAAAACAGATAATAAATAATAGCTTAAAAATAATAAAAAAATAGACTAAAAAATAATAATTGCACATGGATATAATTGAATGGCACATGTTCAGTGTTAGCAGTGTTTGTTGTACAGTCTGACAGCAGCAGGAAGGAAAGACCTGCAAAACCTCTCCTTCACACAGCGAGGGTGAATCAGTCTGTCACTGAAGCTGCTCTGCAGAGCAGACAGAGCGTCCTGCAGGGGGTGAGACTCATGGCCCAGCAAAACTAAATAGAATGCACTGTGAAACTACAGAGCTCTCCAAGGGTCCTTTGTAGACCTGTCACAATAACACGTTTTGAAATGTGATATATTGTTGAAGTAAATATAGACAATACATGATAATTGTGAAACCAAACCATAAAACAGGAACAAAAGTGCAGCATTATATTTAAAATTCAGTACTGACGTTCAAGAGTGAGCACTTCCAGTCAAAAGTTTAGTCATACTTAGGGTGAACAGGCGTCCCTATTTACCCGGGACAGTAACAGTTTTGAGCCTGTCCCTGCAGATTTATACAAAACCAATTCATTTGTTCCAGTTTTATACAAGAAATGTCCCAGGTGTCCCTATTTTTGACCAATCTGATCTAAATCAGGACTCAAACAGGACTATCATAATTTTGACTAATCTGATCCCCGCCAAAAGTAAAAAGGAGCATACCGTATTTTCCTCACCATGGGACGCTCTGGATTATAAGGCGCACTGTCACAGAATGGTCTATTTTCGAACTTTTTTCACAAATAAACCGCACTGGACTTTAAATGAAACACAACAGTGTGATGGGTGAGTGGTTTTGTTTGTTTGTGGGTTCACGGTGACTCTGGGCTTTGTTCAGTTGTGGTGTGTAGGAAGGGTGCTGTCTGGGATCGCTGGATTGTCGGCGTGTTCGCAGTGACTCAGTTGTTCAGTTGTGTCTAGAAGTGGCACATTGCACTCGCTTTTTTGGTTCGTTCCTCGTCGGCGTGGAGTGATGAGTGTGTCTGCGGGTGTTTTTCGTCGTGTGCTCGCTGTCTGCTCTGTGTGTGTTTGCGTGCACTGCGGGTGTTTTTTGCTGCGGTTTTGTAGTTTACTGAAGTCGTGCTGGGACACCTGAGTGGATTCGTGTATAGGGCGCTCTGGATTGTGGGGCACGCAGTCGTTTTTTGATGGGGTTGGAGGCTTAAGAACGTGCCCTATGGTGCGGAAAATACGGTAAATTGTCATTTGATATAACAGACAAACACTGCCAACTACTTTGACCAAAACAAAACAAAATAGAATACACTGCAAACCTACAGAGTTCACCAAGAGTCCTTTGTAGGCCTGTCACAATAACACGTTTTGAAATGTGATACATTGCTGAAATAAATACAGACAATAAACAATAACTGTTAAACCAAACCGGCAGAAAGCAGAATTATCTCTAAATATACAGTATAAATATAAAATACGAGCGGCAAAAAATAACAGAATCTAACACTTAAGTAATTAGTTTGTGTCTATAATGAGGCATAGATGATCATAATTCAACCTTCTACAGCTCAAATCTCATCATAGTGCAGAAAAATAACAAAACAATTCTCCATGATAAATATTGACCCAGAAATATTCACGTCTCCTCTATTGTGTATTGAACAATGAATCGATACAGTAATTATCCTGACAGCTCTAGTACTTTGTGGATTTTTAAAAAAGGGGGTGTTGCATGCTCACAAGTTGATGGGCAGTAGCTCCAGGCCACAGTGTTTTAGGATCCCAGAAAGGGATCCTCTTCCTATCTTAGGGGGCCCATGTAAGGATTTTTGCCCAGGACCGCCAAATTTCTGTTGACAGGCCTGTCTGGTTATACATTCCAAATATAACTTCAAGAGGGTAAATGAGAAGGGGACTATGACATGGTTTTGCAGAATAGGTCTGTTTTAATGTAACTCTCCTGGACATGTTCTAAATAAGCACTGCATTTTTTATTTTTTTATTTTTATTTTTTAAATCGATGCAAATATTTTCATCCACAATCATCAACAGAAAGTTCATAGAGAAATGATAAACAAAGCAACCTGTATTATTGTATTTAAACAAGTTTTACTGCTAACAATCACCTCTGATCAAACCTGGAACTAAACCAGAACTAGACAAGGACTAGACCAGAACTAAAACTGGAACAAACTAAATCTACCTGAGGGCTAAACTGGGGCCACACCAGGACAGACTTGCCCAAATGCAGCTAGTGTATGTAATATGGAAATCCTCCGTGTAATAGTCTCAAACAGAACCCCTCCTTTAGAGTCTGAGGTGAGACATGTGACGCTCCGGTGTGAAACAGCGGGAGAGGAGCAGAGAAAATACAGCTGTGTCCAACCTCACTGTGAACATCAACACTAGAGAGAGGAGGAGGAGGAGGAGAGAGGAAAGAGGAGGCATTTGGCTAGGGGTGTGCAAAAATATCAAAATATCGATATATGGTATCATTTAATGTAACGATCCAGTATCAATATCGTGGGCTGCTGTATCGATATATCGCCAAGTCTATTTTTTGGTTTATTTTACTAAATTATTTTGTTACAGCTACAGTTTTGTTGCTTGTTTAGAGGAAAAAAAACTCATTTATGCAACACATTTGACATTTTCACTGTTTTCAGGATTAAAATGTTTGTGTTTCATATGAACTTTGCACAAAAAGTGGTTTCACAAAGACTTTTAGTGTCACAGCCATGAATTAGCCATTATTTTTATTGAACTGTACTGAATTGATTTGAAATATATCGTATCAAACCGAAAAAGCACTGTATCGAGGTGTGTATCGTATCGTGGCCTATGTATCGAGGTGTGTATCGTATCGTTGCCTATGTATCGAGGTGTGTATCGTATCGTGGCCTATGTATCGAGGTGTGTATCGTATCGTGGCCGGTATATCGAGGTATGTATCGTATCGGCAGCTTCATAACGATACCCAGCCCTATATTTGGCACAGATTAAAGGATTAAGGATTAACATTACGCAAAATTGACTCCTGTGAGCTTTCATGTGATCATTTGATGCTTTCAGGCCCCTGTTTGCTCTGTTTGTGAATGAGACGAGATGCTCAACACAAGTGACAAAAACAACACTGGATCATAAAGAGTCTCCTCTGCAAATCAGCATGTGCCCAATTTGATTTTAAAGAGGAACTGTGGAACTTTTCTGATGGAACGTGTGCCACAAGCTTCTCTCCATAGAAATGTCATTGTTTTGATTGAAATCTTTCAAAATATGGCCTTAAACCAGACAAGAATACCTGAAAAGCATTTGTACTGTGAGCGGGGTTGTCTCTCCACACGTCTAAAAAGCTTTAGGTGGAGTCCACACGACAACATTTTTTCACACAGAGCAGGCGCTTCAGGTGGTTTTTTGAAAACTTCTGAGAATGCTGGCGTTGCGTTTTCATGTGGACAAGCAAACTGCAGCTTTTAGAAAATGTTGTGACTAGAGATGGGCATTCGATGAAATTTGCTTAATCGATCGTCGGAAGAATTAACAATCGATTATCGATTAATCATTAAAGTTTTTATATTAAAATGATCATCATTATCATCACTATCTGCACTACTAATCTGCAAAAATAAATTCAACTTTACAACATATAAACCGTAACGACTCTAGAGCTACATCAGCCCATTTGACATTATAATGTGTTTAATTCAGTTTTGTACAAGTCTCACAGAAACAAAACTTAAAACCACATGGCTAATTTGCATAAACTAAGCGAAGGAAAAAAAAACTGCTCTTGTGCGCTGATGCGCCACGACTCAGTGGAATACAGGTTAGTGTGACCATATTTGCGTTTGTCAAAACCAGGACACCGTATGAGGGGTGGGAGGTGGGGACTCGTCATCGACATTGCGCGACTCTCACCTGGTAAAACTTTTTCCCACTGGACACAGAAACAAATGTGCTGCTTTGTACACTGTGCACATGGACTCCCACTTGTCCCAACCGGAACGGAAAGCGTGGAATTTCTTGTACAAGTCATCGTTAAATACACATTTGTGCTTCGGTACGTTGCAGACTGACCGACTGTTTGTATCTTGCTCCTTCTGAGTGCAGAGACACATGTACAGACCCCTATTTGGTCACACTACGCACAGCAACCTACATTCGGTTTGTCGATTAAAATAAACGTAATCGATGAAATTCTTAATAATCAATTATCGATTAATTGACTAATTATGCCCATCCCTAGTTGTGACCCCATCATCACCGCGGGCGTTTGTTTGTTGCAGAAGACATTAATATTATTGATCCGACGTGTGTGTGGACGCAAATTGTTTTTGACCCCTCCAAAAAAAATAATAAAAAAAAATCAGGAATGTTTTCGTGTGGATGTAGCCTTAATGTAATACTGTGGAACATTCTAAGCAAAGCATTAACATCTCCATCGAGACAAGCACTGATATTACTTATTAACTGCAAGAATTTTAAAAACAAAATTGTGACCTGACTAGTTTCCTATTAACCGAATGAGCTTTAAATTCACTTATATTGCATAAAAAAAGAGATGAGGGGCAATTTAAATTTAGCTTTAAAAATTTAAAATAAAAAATAAATAGTGCATTGTGCATCTGTCACCTGCTTGTTTCTATGGATATGCCACTGCTCTGCCTGGAATGTTCCACAGTATGACATTAAAAATTTAACAGTGCATTGTGTAACTTTTCTAGTGGAGGATCTCTCAAATGCTACTTTACATTTATTCAATTACAGGTGGTTTTATAGCACAAAAATACCTAGAAAAACAGACATTCTGACTGTGAGCGGGGTCGCCTCTCCACAGATCTGACCTGTAGCTCA